AGAGAGAGAGAGAGAGAGAGAGAGAGAGAGAGAGAGAGAGAGAGAGAGAGAGAGAGAGAGAGAGAGAGAGAGAGAGAGAGAGAGATGTGTCCCAGCATAGTTGGAATAGGTGTCACATGAGTAGCTGATCAATCCCAGGCTGTTGTCACGTGACTTGTTAATTTATGACGTGCGGAGCGAGAGCGGGAAAGCTGAGAGCGGCAATTCAGCGAGGACAAGGATGAGGCAGGAGGAGGAACAGGAGGTGGAGGAGGATGGAATCTTTGGATGGGGTGGAAATTCATCAGGAGTAGAGGAGGGTTGGGGAATTGGGTTTGACGAGCTGCAGGATGAGGGGATTGAAGAAAGCATGTGGATGGAGAATGCCCCACTAGTAGCTACTGAGAGTGAGAAGGAGATCGGTGGAGCTCAAGTGATGAGAATGTCGTCATTCCATGAGTGGACATTATCGGATCGGGCCAATAACTGGTCACCGTCCCACAGTCCAGAGACAGGCTTTGACTGGGCAATTACAACAACGGTGGCAGCATCATCACCAGGGTCAACTAGGTCGATGATGGCAGGAACTATGCTTTGCAAAAAGGAAATGCAGTATGGCAAGAACGGAATGATGGCCTCGTCCTCCTCTCCTTCGGCCGGGGATGCTGCCACCTCATGTGGAGCCTCAGCTGGTGAGCAATTTCTCGCTTTCGAGCAGGAACGAAGCAACCCTTTCCGCACGGTTACAGTCCACGATCACAATCCCCGCCACTACACCCATAATTCCAGTCTTCAGACACCTGCAAACTTCATTGCCACGCTGCGTGGCTGGCTCAACTGCGCGATATGCATGTCGGCAATGCTGACGATAGCGTTCATCATCCTGTTGCATAATCTTGGCTCACCTGGTCTAGGTCCCATATACCTGGTCCGAACCACGGAGGTGTTACCCATGTTATCTGGCAGCCAAGGTGGCTATGGAGGCAGCGAACCACTTGACCCTCAGAGCATGCCAAATGATATGAACCGTACTGATCTAGATGATGATGATGATGGCCATGGTGATGAAGCCACGGCAGATGAGGTACAGGTGGATGACGATGCAGAGGCGATGAAGAAACACCAGAGCGCAGAGAACGTTAAGGAGGGTGAAGAGGGGAAAGAAAAGGAGAAGACAGGGAAGGGAAAGAAGGAGGATGAGGAAGGGGAGGAGGGGAATGACCGTGTGGAGGAGGAAATGAATACAGACGGGCAGCATGAGCACCAGCAAGCACAGCCAATGGTGACAGCTCAAGGGACAAGTGACACCACAGTAACGCCGGCGGTGGCGACAGCGAAGACACCAGTGCCGGCGACTGGTCCCTCGGCGCCGGTCATGATTGTGGAATCATCGGTCGCAGGAAAGCCTCATCGGCTCCTGTGGCAACAGACTAAAGACGATGGTACTCATGACAACATATATCATCCAACAGTTCTCCTCCTGCCAACTAGTCGTGGAGCAGAAGGAGAATCGCGAACGTTCCTGGGGATTGGTCATGTACCACCCCAGGACATCGATATAAAGACCGGGATGTTTGTTCGCGAACCCACTTCCTACTCCGACTCGTCCTCCCAGTCCTCCGGTAGGAGGGGGGCTGCAGATGACGAAAGTGACAGCGAGGAAACTAATGACAATGACCAGGTATCGGGTACAAAGCTGAAGTGTACAGTGAGATTGTCAAGCCTATTAGGGTGCCTGATGGAGGAGAAGGTGTATGAAGCTTCTGGAGCACACCATCTTCGATGTGTATCGGAACTGGAGGAACTGTTCACACCATTGCCGACGAGATGGGAGCAGTTAATGAAGAAGGGATGTACTCCCAATGTCAGGTCAGAAGGTCCTGATGGGTTACTGGTGGAGGGAACGGGGGGGGAGGCGGACGGAGAGTACGCGGAGGATCCTGACGATGAACTAGAGGACCAGCAGCCTATTTCTTACGAAGCTGGGCCGGATGACCCTCGTGCCTTCTGGACTTCAGATGGTTTGCCAGTCTTGACATATGTCCATTCTCTTTCTGTACAAGGCCGAGTAGTAGAAAGGTCCGTCTGGATTGCCGACCTACGAGTTGTGCACCCTTCGCTTGCCAGCGTTCTGCCTCCAGCGCTTCGTGTTAAACCAGCTGGAGTAGGGATGGGGAGAAGGGAGGTATGGTCTGGTAATGAGACAGAACTGGAGAACCAGGGTGGCTGGGTACCGATAGTTCTTCCGAGGACAATCTTCTATGCGGGGGTTGGCAATGGTACACGTAACAACCTGTCCGAAGGTCATCTTCCTGCAACACCAGCAAAGAACAAAAATTTATCATCGGGTAATATCTCGTCCAAATTTTCTGAGGTAGAGATGGAGCCTCTGCTCCTGCCACTCCCAGAGGGCGCCTCCCTCTATTTCATCACAAATTTGGAGCGACATAGAGCCATTCCTGTTGACGACACTGACGGTAATAGTGATAAGGCACAGTTGGGGGAGGAGGAAGAGGTAAATGTGTCGCCATATCCTCCCGAGCCTGAGAGTGGGCTAGAGATTCCGCCGGGCAGTTCCCAAGGGAGGAAAGTTTCTGCTCCTCCTGCACGTTCTTATGTATCGGCTTTTCCTCCTGCTGCCCCGAGTCTGCCGACGGGGATCCAAAGTTCATCCGAAGCAGAAGGAAAAATGCCGTTGTCCTGGAATGAAACCACGGGCATGGGTGCCTGCTTTCGTGAGATGATGCCGCAGGCAGTTAGCGAGCTTGGCGGCCGGATCCGCGGCGCGACCAATGCTCTCAAGCTGACCCTTTGTAATCGCGGTGAATGCCAGGCGAATAGCTCCAATACTGTCTTCTTCGCCATTGCGCACATCGTTCAGTCCAGGCCTCGGGAGTGGGTATGGCGGTTTGTAACCGTCTGGGACATCAATCCTCCTTTCAGGCCTGTCTCTGCATCTCCGTCTTTCATGTATGCTGGTTTACCCCTGGACGAAGCGCTGGTCCTTGATCAGTCAATGACTTTCGCGACGACTCCAGCAGTGTCACCTAGCAGCGAGCACAAAGAAGAGCCAGACAGCAGGGAAGCCGTCTCGATCGTTGATGACCCTGGTCACGGCTACCTGAGCGATGACTTGCTGGTTAATGTTGGGCTGGGAAGAGGAAGACAGAGTAAAATGATCTCCTTGAAAGTGCGCTCCTTGTTTCAGTGCCATCAACTCTGCCCCTCCTCCATTGTGGCCTCCAGAACAGGTTCTGAGTCATCGAAGTCAAACACATCAAATTCTGTTACTAGCCAGAGCGAATTCATTGCGACAACTCTGGAATTGATGTGCGCCAAGCGGCCAGCAAGTGGACGGAGCACAAAGCTGTCGCTCTTTGGAGTATCAGGCTAAAAATTGAGGTCCCAAAGCCATTGGATGGACCAAGAAACCCGATGTGTGAAGAAAGGGCACGAGGGCAAGGGGAAAATGCTGGGTCCACTGCCTTTTAGTTCTAATGGAACATCAAAACTCCAAGACGAGCGGCCGGGACAAGTTGTCATTGCTCTTGTGCGT